TTATATTTATTTCATTTCCGGTCTAATTTTTGGGTGGAAAGTAATCCAAAGCGAGTCAAGATGCTTGGATAATTTTCTCTATGCTGTAGCTATTGTGCAGTTTGTAAGGGTCCCTTGTAAGACATTTTAAGAACAAACGTTCATTTCGACACCCTCTATATTGCGAGTTGCGACCGCATTTACAAGCGTAGTGCATCTTTGTCGCTCGTCCACGAGGCTTAATTATTGCAAGATTACTTAGTTGCGATAACTTATAATTCTTGATTCAAATCTCGTACTCATGAATGCGAAAATGGAAGTTGGGCACTGGACGCGATATATATATATATATATATAGCGTGCCACTCTTGTTGCGATACTAATTATTCGATAACGCAATACTCCAATAGTTAATGATTCAATAATGAAATGATATCATTATTAATTAAATCTAATCGTAAACGGCAACGACAATAATCGACCGCTCAGTTACGGTATTGGTAGAGAAGTCGGTTCGGGTAAAGCGGGTAGAAGTTCAAGGAGCAAGAAGAATATTAGATAATCAGACACATCAAGATTAATAAGAGATTAATTAACAATTATATTTCATGAAAGTTTACACATTCTAAGACAACGCATCGATATTTTTGAGACAATTGCAATTAAAATACACAGTTTTAACATGTGATGCAACTCAAGTTAACGTCAGATTTTCAATTATAGCAGCCATACCATTCTTAGGATTGTTATAAAAAACGAGTATGATATAGAACAAGAGGATATAAATGTTATAAAAAAGTTTCAAAATTGTAGACCGTTTAAAGTTCAAAAAATGTAATTAAACAAAGTATGTAACATACGCACTGTTCAACACGTAAATATAGCTTGAGATTATTAAAAGATGTGGCAAATCACACATCATGACACATCGAGTCTTTTTCTCTTTCTTTGCTTGACATATTGCCAAAATTGCTTTTAACCTTTTCCTAAGAGTTTTCTCTTTAATAAATTAACTTTTATGTCTCAATTGAGAAGTCATATCATTATTATCTTATTGTTAGTATATGTATATCATATACATATGTATATTATATACATTAAGAATCTTAGAGTGTGTAGAGGTTACACCCGCAACCAAAAGTTTATTCCAGCAAGCCAAAATAAATAATTGATTGTTTACTTTTTAATTATTATTAAACATTGTGCTGATATATTTTATAATATATATCAATAAGATGTTAATTTATTAAACTTTAAAGTGTATTTAATATATTATAACTACATGTTGAAATTTTCTTTTCACTAATAAGAGCTCAGTTTTTTAATGGAACTGTCGCGTTAGTACTACCTTAAACAAATAAGGAAAATCTCGAAGTCCAAACATTTGACTGATACTGTAGACTATTAAAAATTTTATACTAAATATATTTTAATTATATTGTTCTAATTTAAAGGTTTTTTTAATATAATTTTATCTGCTGGATGTTAAATATAACGTCAAAATCGATAAATTTAAAATTACGAAATTAATATGACTACTGTTATACTGATAAATTTAAAAAATGTTTTAATTTTTGGAATAATTTATAGAGATTTTTTAATATAATTTTAATTAAATTTGTTCACTTTGATATTAGTATTAGTGATCTAAAAAATTCTTGAGTTTGAACAACTAAGTTTGAGTTTGTATAATTAAAAAATTATAGATCTTTAATATATGATTCATATAAGTCGCAACTTTGACGAAATAGAGCCTAATTAATCTAGATTAATCAAATATTTTTTTAATTTTTAACATAACAAATTCTTTTTAAGAACTGAATGTCCTAAACAATATAATTAAACTTGATGACAATAAAACTTTTCCAATATATCCCATATCGTTATAATATATGCTAAAATAATTCGTTGTATGCAACTTAAGTCGCAAATTTCCGAAAATTGTGATATAATAATACAATAAGATAAATGGGATATTCAGCACTCAAAAAATTGTAGGAAAAGACTGCTCTCATGTTTATACTCAAAAAGATTTTTTGTTGAAAAGTGGCTATTGATTTAAGTTCAATAATATAAATATATCAATATTACTTTTTTTCTTTTAAAATAAGTCTCTAAAATGGAAAAATAATTATATTATGATCAAACAATAATTATGTTATAATGTGAGTTAAATTTATTGGATGCACGCATAGTGTTTTCAGATTATAATATACGTTTATTAACATACGATTTCAGATTATAATATACGATGTGTGATCTCCGTATAACTGATGAGATCTCCGTATAACTGATGAGATCTCCGTATAAACTGATGAGATGACGTTATACATGAGAGGAATTGCAACGATTAAATGAAAAAAAGCCTTTACTAATTCATCATTGTAAAGCATTTGAAACGTTATAACGTCAAATTATGTATTTAAAGAATTAAAATTTTTTTACTTACTCTTATCCATTTTTGTTATTTTTTTAACTATACATATAATCCTTGACTTAGGAAATAATCACTCTTTAATGTATATCACTTAATTTTAATACATTTTTACACATCGATCTCTTAGTTGAGCAAGTCGTCAAAGAAATACGGCTTCCACTTCTCGTGTTATATCAACTGCTACCAAATATTCAAGTGAATTTTTATTTTAATCGGATGAACTCATATATGGCAGATACGGAGAATCTTTCTCTGGTCTCTCATATAGTATATCCCGATATATTTCATGCATCCGAGTGTATGTTAATCAGTTAATGTCACGTCAAACACTGCATGACTGTTCTTCGAGCAAAATTGTATGGACCGCAAGAATCTATGCACGATCCTCTACTCTCGCAGAAGTCACGACAAGTGACACGCCTCTATTTCATAAAAGCCTTCAAATACACTCATTGTGTCCCCGTGACGTTACTCCGTAACGACGATTTTATTTAATGATATTCGCACCGATATCTTAAACAATCGAAAAATATCACTTGCGATCATCGAAAATTTATTTAATCCGTTTTATCTAATATATTAACGCGATAACGTGCATTCTTGATAATTAAAATTAAGATAACGAAAGTCACGTCAATTTGCTATTATTGACATTCGCTGATTGCCGCTTGACGTCTCTTAAAATATTGACAAATGTCACTGACACAGTACCAAATTTGTACCAAAATTTTCGTCTGTTTTTGTCACAAAATCACAACACTGTCACTACATTTTAGGCCTGTTTTTTTAACTGAACTGGCTGCACTAGTTCACAGTTTATCTTTCTCTTTCTACTACATTGAAAGAAGAAAGATAAACTCTGAATTAGTGGCAGCTAGTTCAACTAAAAAGAGCAGCTTTTGATTGATCTCTTTTAAATGGTTTTTCAGATATAAGATTATAATCTGAAATTAAATAATTAAAATCTTTTTGTCATTACAAGTATATTTTATCTATTTTATTTATTAATTGTTCAAATATTAAACTAAATTAATTAGCTATTAAGTTATTTATAAATAAAAAATTTGATAACTCTAATGTTGAATTTAAAATAAAATGGAAGCTGTTTTAGTTAACAATTTGATATGAAAAATGTTGCTTTTCACAGAGCAAATCCAAACTTTGATTTTATTATTTCAAAATGTTGTTATCAGCTATTATATAATTTTTTATCAATTTTATTGATATTATTTTTTAAAAAATGCTTACACACACACATAGTCTCATCTTATTATATGTACAGAGAATGTAATATTCTTCTGGCAAAACATTACTTTATACATCTTTGATAAAGCGATCCTTGATTTTCATCACGCATTTGCGAGTGTAAATCTGACATCAATAAAATTTCTATTTATGTGACGAATCGTCACAGCGCATTGTTTTCGTTATTAAAATGGCATTAGATTTAATCGCGTGATTTCTGAAAATTTATGGCAACTACCACAACCAATATTTACTCATTGTCAGACGTAGATCATTAATGAAGCGCGTGATAGAGTATGCGTTTCGTTCAAATTGTCAGGACAAGTTAATTTGTTGCGCATTGAACTGCCGATAATTAAATCTATTTTCATTGCCAGTGCAATCTGCAATGAAGGATCACAAATCTCGTCTCAATTGAATATTTCTACTTCAATATTTTTTATATAATTATAGCAATATTAATTGTCAATACTAATTTTATTCTTTTCAAAAATGAAGATTTAGTTCCATTCATCTTTTCGTAAGTTGACATTAGAAATTATACCTAAATTAGAGAAATAATTTTTATAATGCGGAGTTTTGTACATTTATTTATCTATTTGATTTATTTAAACGATTTATTCAATTTTAACTCTTTGCTGCACAATTTTTTTTAAACATATTTTGCTGAAGCTTATAAAAGTTATAAACGGATTTGGAATCATTGATTGCAAATCTGAGGTCGAAATTTAGCAGATTCAATATAATATATAGCGGCCAAATTAAAAAACCTATGATGACTTATACATAACTGAAATTGTATATGTACGAATTTTTTACTCTTCTGATTCTCAAAATATTAATCGCGATTTCAGAAACACTAATGTAAAGATTTTTACGACATATTTATTACCTGTCTTCAATTTGTCCTCAAGAAATTTTTTTAAGTGCTATACTTTTGACATTTTATTTATAATTTATATTAACATGAATTAATTACGTATTTATGTTATTTATTACCTATATATTACATATATATGTCTCAGAAACCAAAAAGGTACCAAATATGTTATTTAATCAATTATGAAATGCGTAAAAGCACAGAAAAACTGCAATAAGACGAATATTCTGTATATGGGTTATGATTATAATATTAAAACAGAAGATTACGATCAACAATATTAAAATGAGGATTATTGATACATACAATTAATCATCAGAGTAACATTGTATCTTCCCACAATTCCCGATTTCAATGTCGATAAAATAAGGTTCAGTAGGTTATAGAGTCTCTGATTCCCCCTTGAGACTTATTATATATAAATTGTCAAATGGATGAATGTCAATTGCAGGATGAGCACAATTTCGTGTAATAGATATTACTCGTATACTACACAACACTTTATTGCGTTAACGTATTGCGTATCGCGAATTTGTTTTTTTACTCTTCCGAGTGTCACAATGTTTAATTATGGATTCATATATTTTTCCATATTATAATAAATACAAATAAATCGCTCAACATTAACAACACGATAATTAAACCTAAATTTTGAAATAAAAAAAACTTTTGTTAAGAAATTATATGTATATTTTCTTAAATCCATTATGAAATCTGCATGCGTGCCCTTAAATTTTGATTAAATTTAATTTGTTCAATGAGCTGCACATCTTTTCAGTGGAAAAAGAAATGGATCTTCTTTCGGAGTTGATGTCTTTTTCTAACAGATTGAGCGAGTGACACATAACTAGCAATAATAATAATCTCATTGTCAGTGATAATATATTAAATATCACTAAGATAATAGTGAAGAAGAAAATATTATCAAGTTTCTCATAGCAAGCGTTTGCTAATTGAACCATGGAAAATTAATCGTCCATTCAATTTTATCAATAAATAAAGCTTGCATTGTTTTCTCCGCATCCATTTCTTGTTTTAACTGGAATTCTAATCATTTTCTCGCATATAATACATCTTCTCTAATTGCTTCACAAAAGCGATAACAACACACGCGCGGTGAAAGAGCATGCACCATATAATCATTGGTGCAATGATAATTGCTTGGACGAATTATCTACAGCTTGTGCCCTGATCTCATACGGATTTCATCACGTTAGGATACCGTTGGAAACAAATCACGCAGATAATAAGGTGAAGATGCCGTGCGGTTATTCACCCCTCACGATAATCGCTTGCACACCGAAGCCGTTTAATTTACAAACTACTCTTTATACTTTTTTATTTTAAGGTTTTATGTTCAGTCTGAAGTCGATTCTTTTTTATGAAAAATTTGACAATACAAATTTTCATCAAATATATAATTTGTCGGGGTATTAATTATTTCTTGTTTATACAAAGAGTTTTATTTTAATTACGTTCAATTGTCTTAAAAAATAAACATTTTTGGGAAAAATGTTTATTTCACACAGAAATTATACAGTCTGAAGGGGGACAAAATGGCAAAATCAATTTTCGAGAAAATTGATTTTTTTTAAGGTGGTATAAAAATCATCGTCATTTTTTTAAATGGAATTTTATGCATAAAATAATGAAATGAGTCAATTGTTGTAAACAAAAGACATAGTTTTACATATGTATTACAAAGTGCATAAATTGTTTTTTTTTAAATAATTATTTTCTTTACAACATTTGATTTATCTCATTATTCTGTGTGTATTAAGGTATAATTGCCAAAAAATGAATAATTTACAAGATATTTTATGTCAAAATGTATCAGAATAAAGTACGTAAATTATTAATTTTTTAATAATTTTATTATAATATTTCAGACTGTACTTTAATACTTTTATATTCAGAATAACTATATAAGAATCTTCTTATGTAAAGAAATTATACAATTCTATGTTTTTTAAAGGGCAATGATTTTTACGTAACTTTAAACAATTTTTTTGAAAATTGATTTTGCTATTATTTATCTCTCTTTAGCCTATACAATTATTGAAACATTTTTTTTCAAAAACGCTTACAAGATAATCGGCGGCATCACTTGAAAAACACTCTATCTGTCAGTACAAAAACATTTCCTGATCGTCATGTAGCGAAAAAATATACTTGGCGAGAGTCGCTACCGCGTCTCCTGATATCTTGCTCTCATTAAATGTAACATGTGTACATTTTTTTACAAATAGTAAGTTACGTTCATCTTTGCCTAATTACGAAAAGGATTATCATTATCTAGCATTGCAAAATTGAATCTAACGTAATAAGGCCCGGTTGAAACGTCATAAATTTCGTAAACTTCCAACAATATGTTATGACGAATGGCAGCAATAAACAGATAAGATGTTAATTCTAATGAAGTGTTAGCTACGTAACAACCAAAATTATTTTCTTCTCAGCGGAAGATTCCTCTGTATAAACAGAGACCGTCACTGAATTGCTCACAGTCAGAGAACTTGATAAATAACCCACTAATCTCTCTTCCAATATCTAATCTGTTTAGCTTCTTCCTTAATCATTCTGCGAAGTACCAATCGCATATTCAGGACGCATAAAAATGCGAGATTAATATTCGAGAAATAGGTTTATCATATTGATTACATTACAATAACGACATTTCAATATCCTCATCTCGAATGTATCCTAATGAAAAATTATAATTGATATGTTGTTTACTTTTACACATTATTCTCTCTTGTTGCATTAATATTAATTGAGAAATTATATCTCATACATTATACATATATTATTTTACATTTTGAAAGAGACCGGTATACCTACATTATTCGCATATTTATTCGCGTATTATACGTTTAAACATCAACGCTGGTCCTGCATAGCAAAAATTGTTCTTATAGAATTTTTTTACTTTATATAATTTTTCATAATTTCTATTTAGATTTAAAATTTTTTTAGAATTCCTATATATTTTTAAAAAATTCCTCAAATTTTTTTATACGAATTGAACTTTTCAGAAATGTTAAGAAAATCTACGTCTTTTCTAGAATTCTTTATATGTGAAACTTTGAAATATTTCTCATTTGATAATTTCGAAAGAAAATTTAAAACTTAACTTAAAATCTGGAGAAGTTTAAAATATATTTTTCAGAAATCTCCATAAATTTAACATTTTTTAATGATAATTTTTTAATAATTTGTTATGAAATATTATGAGAATATTTTCATAAGAGAAAAATGACCGTATTTTCAAACAATTTGTATATGTAGGGTGAAATCGCCTATTATGAGATAAGTTCCTAATGTGAGATAGCGGGATTTTTGCTAAACTAGTAAGCGCATGTGATTAATTCCATAATGAACTTATTACTTTTGGGGTGAGTATTCTATTTAGTAGAAAATTCATTATTAGATCATGCATTCGTTGAGAAAAAAGATTTATAAAATTGGATGCTGTCAAATTTTATTGAGATGAGCCTTTAAGCCTTATTTATTATATAATAAATAAATATTTGGTAATAAATTCTGCATGCAGTAATAAAGTAAGTTTGTGTAATAAGAAAATACGGGATGTGATGATTTGATTTATGGTGAAGATTAGATTTAGTGAAA